GGGTGACCCCGACCTGGAGGGACCGGGACACCGAGCATCGGGAAGGGAAAGGAGTCACGGCGGATGCGACCTGGACAGGATCGGGTTCCTAAGGGTTAAACCGGACCCCGCGCTCCACAGGGGCCGGTTTGCTCGGTGCAGCGCTGTGCTGGTCGTCTTGGGAGACTGGCGACTCGCCCTTGCCACCCACCAGGGGCCACCACTCTTGGAGGCAGGCTCGAAAGAGTTAACCCAACCCCCAGTCACAAAGAACTAAGTGCTATAAGGAGCTACGTTTTTTGTTTTTTTTAAAGCAGGGTACAAATCCCGGAGCCATTCCTTCTGTCTGAGAGGGAGGAGTAGAGAAGATCCGGAATTCCAGAGGAGAGGACATCTGAGTTTAGAGGAGCAGAAATGGAACACCAGGCGGAAGAAACAGCCTCGACAAACTGCACCGGGGTGTGAAAGCCCAAGGGATGTGTGGGTGGAAAAACTAGAATTCCCTGGAGAGTTAGGGTTTGAGGGGCTGGGATAGAAACGGTAGGTGAGACCCGGAAGTAATAAAGACTGTCCCTTACTGAGGACTTCTTATCTCTAGAATAAGACAATTATGATGCCTTCTCCAGCTGCCTTCACAAAATACAAGCCATAGCTTGGGTAGCAGTTCATTGTCGCACAGTTCTGGAAGCCAGCGTTCAACATCTAGGTGCCACTAGGGTTGGCTCTTGTGAGACCTGACTTCCTGTGGATGCCTGTGCCTCTCTGCGTCCTCCCATGGCCTTCCCTCTGTGTGCATCCGTTATCTGATGAACTCATTTAACCTGCATTACCTCCTCCTAGACTCCACCTATAAACACAGTCACGTTGTGGGCCAAGGTTTCAAAATATGAATCTAGAGAGACACAATTTAGTCCATAATATGCCACCCTCTGCCCCCAATTCATGCCCTTCTCACCTGCAAAATACAAACACCTCATCACAAGAGCCTCTCAACTCCCTGCAGCATCTATTCCTAGTCCAGAGTCTCTCTAAATATCAGCTGAATCAAGTGTGGATAGGTGTGAATCTTCCTGAGGCAAACTTCCTCTCTACCTGTGAAACCCGGCAAGATGACAATGGTGGGACCTCCCACTCTTCCAAGGGGGAGAAGTGAGAAAGAAGAACGAGATGACAGTTCCAGGAGATCCAAAACCCA